TAAAAACTTTATACCTGTGGGCTCGATGGGCAGTACCAAAAGCATCGTTAACATAAACATCACCAAGCTTGGTCAGAGAAGTACGAAATATGGCAACACCATCTGGACTTGCTTTCACCTAGATACAAACATTGGAATATTGTTATTTTGTGTTCATATCTAGATAGTAATCTATTTTATCATCAAACTATTGAAATTAACTGTGTTTTATATGTTACATTATGAATCTAACTATACAAGACCGAGTTGTTTATAGCTAGACAGTTAAATTTAATCAAAATCAGAAAATATATCTCACTAAATAAATGCAAATATAACATGAACTAAATACAGAGAAATTCCCAACTTGTTTTACTATCTAATAGTACGATCTATAAAGAATATGTCAGTACAAACATGCTATTAGATCGTTTTTCTTTAATTACAGGGATGATGATAATCATACTTTTAGACTTGATTTTTTCTTTTTTTTAACTTGGAGAGGAAATCACAAAGACTCTTACAAACTGATGAGCCATAAGAATAACATGATATAGTTAACTTTTGTCTCAATGGCATTTTGTTGTAACCAGGGCTGATGAGAGGAAGCTGCTCAGGGGCCCAGGGTCTGTTGAGGGGTCCGACAGTGGGATATTCCATAGCTTACTAGAAATGCATACTATTTAATGAGCTAAAATAGCTTCATGGATTCATGAAGAAATTTGTCACCTAAATTTCTTTTATTAAAAATCAGAAAAAGTTAATAAATAGAATGAAAGGGATGACTGATGATATTACTGCCCCCGGGGGCCTGTGTTGGCTCTAGATGCCCCTGATCGTAACTGTAAACTCTGAGCACAATATTTCCTTCATCCTCTTCTGTTACAATGTAATATTCAAGAACCCAGCAGGTTTAACACACATGTAATAAATGCAACATGAAAGTGTATGGTATTGTCACATAAAAGTTGGCCCAGGCTCCGTATTTACTTCTTCACTTAAGGAGATTTTTTGTTTTCAATTAGAATCACTTTTAACCTACACAAACAGTTTTCCAACACTGGATATTTTAAATGATGTTGAGTTTGCATTACAAAGAATATTTATATTAGTAAGATTGGTTGTCATCGTACTTTTACCCTAATTATAAGTTTCTTTATTTAGTGAATCAGAGATATTTAATAATGCAAGTATAATGAGGCAAGATCCAATAAAAGGTTAGTTAAAATGTCCAATACCTTTTGACCCTCAGCATCAACTCCCTTGCCTTCTTCTTCAACGTGAAACCTTAAATTCTCCAGCAGAATTACAGAGCCCTCTGGTGGATCTTGACAAGCTGCTTCTACTTCTGCACCAACACAGTCAGACAGAAAAGTAATTTCTCTGTAATCAAGACAAATCAACACTGCTGAAGAAGATAACACTTTTCTTTTGAGAAAAAAAATATTTACATCACTGTCTTCAAGAGGCCTACTGATCGTCGACAAAACGGTTTTATTGCTATATTTTAGAAATATTAAAACCCTGTTTCCATTTTTGAATTTGTTCATCGAGAAAAATATCTGTTTTTTCACAAGTCTTTCAGTACTTCCAAGGAATCTCGACCTGTTATACCACTCTTTAAAACAACCTTGTAATGTAAGAGAACATTGGTGTAATAAATACAAATAGGCAGTGACTGAAGTAAATAAATAATCAATTATGAAGCAGGAGTGTCCTTTTTTACTGTTTAGAACAGGAAAAATATTCCAGCATACCAAATTCTCCTTATAATATACATCATAAAAATGAAGTGAAATATATGGTACTACTTAGGCCTTCTAATAAATGTTTATTTTCTTTCTTTTTTTAACCTACTTTAACCAGTCAGGTACTTTGTTCTTTGTTAACCTCAACCAGAACGAATATATATATATTTTTTTTTTGCACTTAAAAGACAAGGCTAAACATACAATATAACTGTTCAACTTACATTTTATTCTCAGTAAACAAAACTAAAACTCAAGAACATAATGGTTTGAGGTATAATTCAAGCTGCTACACTCAGGATTTAACCTTGCTTCTCGACAAATATCAGATACAGAGATTCACGCGGTAAAGCTTCAAGCAGTGGGTTCATTATCCCTACAATCACAAAGTCTTAAATTAACTGAAAACCAGTGTATTTTCTTTTCACATCAGGTGACGTTAATTACTATCGTGAAAACTGCAGTCTTCTGCAAGTCAAGTTTGGGATTTTATCTAACATTTGTTTTTATACAATGTCATAGATCTATTTTATGGTTTATTATTTATTAAGAAATAGTAATTTTGATTTTAGCTTATTTTGTTTTACATTTAAAATTTAATGAAAATTTAAATTTCATTTAATCTAAGTCAGGGTTCTCCATAGGATTTCAGTAATGGGGTGATATAAGTCCGAGTACAGGGTTGCTATCACTATCAGCTAACTAAGTTTAAAACCTTTTTAAGAGCAAGCTAAAGTAAAAAAAAACAAAAAGACCTACAGATATGTATTTATATATTATTTATTGGGTCTCATAATACGGCTAGAAGAATATTAACGACAAATATGTCATCATTGAGAATCCACTCGTTTAGTACGTTGAATTTTGCCTCAACCTCTAAAAAACAAGTGAAATTTCAAAACTTAAAAAACAAATCATCAAGCATGGTAGGCCTAGTCCTGCTATTTGCGTTAGCAGCACCTCAGTAACGCCATTAGAATACTAAATTCAAAGTACTTTTTCAACTTTCAATTTCTATATCTATACGAGATATTTGTTCATGAAACCACAAATCTGTGTGGGAACTAATCTATGAACCCACAAATCTGTGTGGGAACTAATCTGGGTTATCAAAAACTCCAATAACTAATCAACTTCAACAAACTGTTGACAAAGAATTTTCTTGGCCATGTAAAAAAAAAAATAACTGACACATTTAATTAATTTTTTTTATGCAAGTGAATTAAATTATCAGATAGTCAGTCCTCACCGTCGTGCCAGTAAATGATTACTAAGTACAATCATAGGCTTTGTATTAAATACACTTATAGTCAGTAGTGTCATTAACCATTAATGGATTTAACTTGTTCTTTACCGTCACATTTTACAAGTCCAAAAACGAAGTACTGGCAAGAGGTTTTATGTTTGTTTTACATGCTCGTGGAAGATATACAAGGGCTATATGCACTAGTCATCCCTAATTTTGAATTAAGACTAGATGACACTATTAATGTAATAGTGAGAAATGACCATCATTCTTATTTTTTTCTTTTTCCAGTAATGGGATGTGCATGATGCTAACCACTAGGCCATGCTCTGTTCCTGATAAAGTGGAAGCAACATTTTACGTCACAAATGATATCCAGTTACCAACTTACCCCCTTGTTTTCTTAGCAGCTTACTTCACAATTTGAGATGTGGCAATATTATTATTGGAAAAATATTAGTTTTATTACACTCGATTAGAAAAACAAGTCCTTAAGGTTACCTTCCAAGTAATATTTTTAGCTCCTCCGATACAGGCTTTAGCGAGTATTTTTCTGCACGCCTACCATCAGGACGACCCAGGTGGCTCATGAGAACTACAGACTTAGCTCCTTGATTTAAGGCATGCTTAATGGTATCCAAAGCTGCTACAATTCTGTATATATATAAAAAAAATTTTTAGACTTACAGATAAATGACATATTTCACACTGTAAAATGCTGGTAACTACAAAAAATTAGTTTTTTTTTTCTCATAAACAATTTGTCATGTTAGAGTTCTGACTTTAATGAACTCGTCTATTTCTAGAGGTGGGCAATGACGAATCTTCTATATTACAGCTTTTTTCAGCTCTAAAAAAAAACAAAAACTCTACCATGTCTGAAACACAATAATTTGTCATGTTATTTATATTTAAAAAAATTAATATTAAATTGTCAGAGTTGATTAAAAATTTACTTACAGATTAAATAAACCTTAATAATATTAAAAAGTTAAAATTCAGGGAACTTGTGTATGTATTTAAAATATTAAAATCCACAAATGAACAACGTTTCATAATATGCAATTAAAATCTTTATTCAAACTGACCAACAGTTATAAAAGTCACTCTAAATGTTTCAACATGGTTTCATGTTATCCTCAAGAGTGTGAAAAACAAACACCGTGTGCTATATAAATACAAAAGCCATGGTCATGTGACTGCTAGTTTTCAATTCAAAAAAGAAGATCACTCCATCTACTTACTTTCTAACCATTCATCCTTATTTAAGATATAATTATTTTTACTCTGTTTCATTATTTCAATGGTTTCTCTAATATTTCTAACCTTTTTTTTTTTCCACTGGATGATATTGTAAATTATACTGGACTGTTCAGGTAATGCAGGTTCCACTGGATAATATGTCCAGTATAATTTACACGTTCAGCTAATGCAGGTTCTACTGGATAATATGTCCAGTATAATTTACATGTTCAGCTAATGCAGGTTCCACTGGATGATATGTCCAGTATAATTTACATGTTCAGCTAATGCAGATTCCACTGGATGATATGTCCAGTATAATTTACACTGGATGATATGTCCAGTATAATTTACATGTTCAGCTAATGCAGGTTCCACTGGATAATATGACCAGTATAATTTACACGTTCAGTTAATGCAGGTTCTACTGGATGATATGTCCAGTATAATTTACACTGGATGATATGTCCAGTATAATTTACACTGGATGATATGTCCAGTATAATTTACATGTTCAGCTAATGCAGGTTCCACTTCCAGTGGAACCTGCATTAGCTGAACATGTAAATTATACTGGACATATCATCCTAATATGTCCAGTATAATTTACACTGGATAATATGTCCAGTATAATTTACATGTTCAGCTAATGCAGAGTTTCACTTTTGTTTTTAACAATATTCTATGTTCATTGATTCTAAATTTTAAGTTTCTTCTAGTTTTACCAATGTATGCACCACTACATTCACATTGAACTTTATATATACTTGTATTCTTCATTAGATCCATTTCATCTTTAGTTTGATTTAATATTTGACTAATTTTATTCAATGGTCTGTATATGGGAAAGAGATTTTTGTTTTGTTTTTGAATTTATGAAAAATCTGATGTGATAAAGCTGAGATATATGGTAAAAACAACATTTACTTTTTTATTTACTTTATCAAATGTTGATTTTAGTTTACTTTTTTGTTCCTATCAACCTCTTATTTAATAATACATGTTTAATAAGTAATGGTTCATTTTTTAAAATCTGCTGAATTAGAACATACTTTTAAAGACCCGTAAGCATAACGAGTAAAAATAGCTGAAATTTTCTGTGACAGAAAAGGTTTACAACAGACAGTAGTTTCTAACTTATTCTTGTTTTTATTATGAAGTACACCCAAAAACTTCAACTTCGTGAGTAAATTGAACAGAGGGTTCGAGGCTACTTAACTAATTATCAAACTCTAGCAAGATCTCTTTACCATGCCACCACACCACGAATGTGTCATCGACATACGTAATCCATATTTCCAGTTTAAGTTTGACATTTTCTAAAGCATCAGTTTCAAATCTTTCCATAAAAAGATCACACAACAAAGGAGAATCCACATTTAGGCCTTCAGTCTGTTTATAGATCGTATTTTTAAATTGAAAATATGAGTTTTGGATAATTTTATTATATCTAAAATTTCAATGACTGGTACATTGTTTACACATAATATGTCTTCAAAACAACTGATAGCTGTATCAATACTTTCTTGAATAATGATACAATATCAGAAGATACGAGTATATCAAGACTATAGATTCACCTGACACGCGAACATAAGCAACTACAAAAATGTTAGTTTCCTTTGAAATGAGAAACCAGAGATGTAACCAAATAACATTAGACTCTATTTCTGGCTTGCTACCTTAATCTTCTTTAACATTATATATATATATATATATAAAAGGTATAAACAGAGAGACTAATTTGATATTTTCCATACCTTTGATTGTTTGTAATTTTCCCATCTTTCAATGGAACATTGAAATCAACCCTGGAAAAATAAATCAATAAATACATTTTTATTTATAAATTCACTTACAGAACTTCTCACGATTGTTTTACTTTTTTTAGTTATTGAAATATTGCCCAAGAAGTTTTTAAACCTACTAACAAACATAGCTATAATTTTTCTTTACAATATTAATGTCTTTTTTTTACAAATATGTTTGACCATTACACTTTGTTTTTGGGTTCTGAAAAGATTTTTCATTTTGCAATTATCCAAAAGAAACTACTACAAATGATGGAGAAAAAGAAATAATCTCCATCCACCATCATCATACAATCTGTAAGAAAACAACTAATGTTGAGCATTTAAATGAAAAAACAACAACAACATCATGCTCAGTCTATTCCTGATTTTGTCATATCACTGAACAAGATTAGTTACAGGAAATTCCAATAAATGTGGATAAAAGCAAATCAAAGAATGTGTGTTGTCATCAAAAGTAATTAAGGTATTTATTACTTATAAAATTACTGTTACCAACTAACATTTTCATACTGTTTGTAGAATGTTCTGTTGGATAAACTGTAGTTTTATCTTTTGCCAAATATTTAGATTGGAGTGGTTAAAAAAAAAAAAGGTGTCAGGACAGGCCAAGTCCATTTTCGGATGTAACACCCTTGTTTCCTCCCCCTCATCAATCTAAACCAAAGTTTGTATGTAAACATCTGCTTGTAACCAGTAAATAGTAGCTTTCCTCTGAATTCTTTCCAAAATTGGCTGGTAATTCCCGTTTCACCGTGTACTTAAGCTTTTTTAATTTTAAAGGAACATCAAATTTCTGTAAGAAAGCTTAACTTCAAGAGGTAATAACATCGTTTACACTAGAATTATAATTTGTTTTTAATTACTAGTAGTTATTAAAAATACTTATAAAAAGCGGATACTCCGTTTGAAGCTATATCACCTCAGGGAAATTGGATGACACAATTGTTTTGGCTACTGAGTTATCATGTAATAAAAAAGACGCAGAATAAAGAAAGAAGAACAAGAAATTCAAATTTTTCGCTATGATAACTTTTCTCAGGCTACGTCTTTTGAAGGAAGGATATTTCTAGGGGGCTCTGACGCTAGAGATCACCGCTATTTCTATGGGGACCACTCTCCGGAAGGTCACACGTTCTGCTTAAGTAATCAACCGGCTTATAAGTTGTATATCTAGCTTGCATATAGTTACTAAGATAGCGTTTTCTGAACACTTCTGTTTTAAATTATTTTATAGAATAATATATTAATGGCGTTAAACAAACTTGGAATTGATGAAATTGACTTGAAGGGAAAAAGAGTGTTGATTAGGTAAGTACTTAAATTTAAAGTAGGCCTATCAAAAGTTATCAGGCAGGCGCACTAACTAGTAACTGGCACTAGCACTCATCGAAATAGTATTTTAATCTCCTCAGTAGGTCATCAGAACTTTACAATACTATACAGTGTTTCCTTTTACAACAATATCTAAGTAATGACTGAGTCACGAGTCCTGGGAATGTCTGTAAAATTCACGTAATATACAAAATATATATGTTGCTATAATTCACCTTTTTAAATTTAATGGCACTAAAATTTGTGTCAAGTCACTTTAAAGTGGTTGCCTCGGTATTATAATATTTAATATAAGTTACGCCCCAAGGTATATGCAAAAGCTTATGTTTTGTAATTATTAGATTGAACTTGAAATAGCTAGTTAAAATAATGTGTAATAATATTAAAATATGAAATAAACTCAGTTGTCTGTCATAAAATGTTTTTACTAAATACTTGAGCATAAAGTGTACCTAAAGGATATCGTATCAGAAAATATAAGAAACCAACAAGCGCTCTTGCCAACCAAGTTAGTGGATAAACTCACTTCAGTAGCAAATAGTGGCAAAATATCAAATATATCTTGTTTTTCAGCTTAATTATTAGATTTTCTAAGTGTCTTAAGTTAAAAAGAGCTTGTTTTAAATTCGAGTTTCATATTAATTTGTAGCACTTTCTTCCCCTTCAAGTTTGTGGAGCTGCCAGGTCTGCAGTCAAAATATTAGTTTATAAACTATAACTTAAAACTTTCTTTACACTTCTTTCAGTTGATTCCATATTCTCATTTTTCTCACGTAAATAATTACAAATATTTCGTATCCATTTTTTCTTTTTGCATTATTTTCCACCTTCTAAATATTTTCATTGTAATATAGATGAAATTTTACCGTAATTTCAAATTTTAATTAAGGAATAACTAAAATATTATGCAACTTCTTGTCAGGTAGCAATGACCTACAATCACTTTATAGATTTTAACAAATGCATTTACTTACAACTTGTGTACATATTTATTGTTTAATGTTTACGCTGGGGGTGGGTGTTAGCAAAAAGATCCTTTGCAGGTTTGGACAAGGGCAACTTGCAACAAGTTAACAAACTTGTGCGACTCTTAAGTTGGTGCTATGATTAAGAAAAACAAAACCCACGCAGCATAGGTTTTAAACTTATACCATAAATGTTTCTTCAAGTTACATTTTAATCTTTATTTTGTTAAAATATTTTAGGTAACTTAAAATAAAAAGAAGAATACCATATAGGAAAACAAATGTGTACATATCTACTATTTTAATAAGACATTTGGGAATTACCAAAGACATCGCTAGGCGCTGGCACACGGGGGCCAGTTGGTGTCTTAAAAAATAAGAATAGAAGACCATGATCGATATGATGCTGAAACGCCAAAAATTCCCACGCATATGGGCCCGAGCCCCGATTCTTTTAAGCACCTAGCGACGCTTCTGGAAATTACAGTGCTGCTAATAAGCTTACTCTGCAAGTCACAATATCAAATTAATTATACATCTAGACATTAGTATGTTTCGTAGTAAAATGAATTATTATCAAAAATTCAAGGCTTAAAAAATATTAAACTACATAGTCATACTTAAGAACAGTTAAGAATGGGTCACAATTGAAACAATTTTCTAGCACAAATGTCACAGAACGATATATTTGCATCCTGCCCAATGTGTGTGGAATAGAATAACGCATAAGTTAACAAACAGTTGTTATATATAATGATCATGACAACTGATCCTAGTGTATAATAGCACAAAAATAATAAAATAAAATGAATTTAAGATTTTTAATTGCAGCATTCACATCGCTAGTTAGTGTTAAACAGTGGTCTAGTGTTAAATATAGAAGTTATGGAACACGTTTTGAAAGTATTACTATGATTAGTATTTATTACGTCACCAATACATAAAACATATTTCAGAAATAGTAGCTGTAAATTGTAATTGAAATTTACATTTGAAAATGTTACAATAGAAAATAAATCTTCTCTCAGTTGAACTTTTGAATTCCTGGATAACTTATTAACAGAACTTTCAAACTTGGTCCATAGTGATTTCTTTGGACTTGGCTACTCTTGTTCACGTATCAGTTGCTGAACGATAACACCTAAGACATTTGTATACATAGTCGTCTGGTTTCCAGTTTTGAATCAGAGAGCCGTGAAGCTAAGGAACATGAGATTTTTCACATGGTTGATTAACAGTCTAGACGTCGTTTCCGTTATGATAAGGTTCATGCTCATAAAGCCTCGTTTGCATTTGAAAGAACTGCATGGGATGACTTTTGAACACCCGATTAAAAGAATCAGATCTGATGGAATATGGGGCTCACAGTTGTGCTGTGGTTGTTTTTGAAAATGGCAATATGAAACGTTTTAAAAGGGGCATTATTTCCTTTCCTCCAAAGCCTGGATTTATCTCTGCTAGCCACTCATTGACTTCTAAGGTACGGAGCTCAGAATTTATGATTATAAAGAAATTAGAAGTGCCTGGCCATGACCCAATTGGTTCATGAAAAGAAGTTGGTGTGAATAACTGTTGTTTCATATTGTTCATGATACTGGTTAGAAATTGACCATGACTGATTGAAACAATCTTATTGTTCTCTGTCAGTGTTATTAATGCAAACTTCATTTCCTTAATGACATTCTCTGCTTCTAAGGCTTTTTTTACCCTTATGTTCCTTCATTGTTTCTAAAAACCACATGCTGCCACGAATTAACTTGTCTGCATAAACTATAGTAATATTCCTTTTCTGCAAGGCTTCTAAAGTGATTAGCAAGAAGGCTAAGTTTTATTGGTTACTGTCTAAGTATGGTTAAACAGGAAGTTCATAACATCTTATACACCTATACCACTAAATCAGGGGAGGTAAATAACATTCAAATACCTAACAAGTTCATTGAATCATACTTTGTATGCAGCTATATCGTAAATATTTTCTCTCACTTGTATATAGAACTTTAGACAATGCTTGTTGCAATTACGGTACTACAAACAAGCCGATAAACCTTACCGGGAAAAGTCTAATGTCTAGAGATGCGATTCGTTGTTATATTTTCGAAAGGTTTCTACTTCAGCCGCTAAAATAAAATAAACGTAGGAAATAGGTGTGAAAAGATTGAAGTAGAAGTTCTCTGGGGATTTACTTTGAAATTTCGTGGTCCATATAGTGAAAAAAAAAAAGGTAAGGGAACGCCATTCCCACACCAGTGGTGTTAAATGAAAATTGAGCTGGAAATATACATCCATGTTTTATGTTCATACGGAATTAGTGTCCGCAAGAAGAAAGTGCAAACAACTTGCTGAAATATATATAAAAAACTGGAATTTTTTTATATTAAACGTAATGTACAATGTTACTTTGCAAAGTCACACTTCAAACACAATTTACAACATTGATTTGGTGGATGTTTTATTATAATACCTTAGCAACTATATTCATTGAAAAAGCCAAAACAGTAATGTATCTTTATATACAAGTAAAGAAACACTTTTCAAAAAAAGAAGTAAATGTAGGGATGGCTAATATCAATCTTTCAAAAACAATGTAAACAAGATAGTTGGGATGCAATTTGCATCATCCCTACATAATAACACAGGCACACAGCGTAGTAGAATGTTAACAGACAAAAATAGGATAAATTAAACTCAATTGTGATTAGATAGTTATATATATATATATATATATC